ACCCCCTGGGAAGTCCTCGTGTTGCACCCCTTTTGCCCCTTTTTCCACCACCCCCCCTCTTTTTTTTGCCCCCGGACAGCCTGTCCGATTTTTAGCCCATTCAATCGCCTTCGCCTCTTTTTCGACAATTTCTCCCTTTTAAACCATTTCCAGATTATCCTGTTCCATTCAATTTCATTTTTTACCCCGTCTACTGCTTAAAACAATAAAGTCGCGGTTAATCTTCGGGTGCGATCATACCAGCACTAATGCACCGGATCCCATCAGAACTCCGCCGTTAAGCGTGCTTGGGCGAGAGTTGTACTATGATGGGTGACCCCCTGGGAAGTCCTTGTGTTGCACCACTTTTGACCCTTTTTCCACCCCCCCTTTTTATTTTCCCCGGACAGCCTATCCGATTTTTAGCCCATTCAATCACCTTCGCCTCCTTTTCGACAAATTTCTTCCTTTTAAACCATTTCTAGATTATCCTATTCCATTCAATTTCATTTTTTTTCCCGTTTACTGCTTAAAACAATAAAGTCGCGGTAAATCTTCGGGTGCGATCATACCACCACTAATGCACCGGATCCCATCAGAACTCCGCAGTTAAGCGTGCTTGGGCGATAGAAGTACTAGGATGGGTGACCCCCTGGGAAGTCCTCGTGTTGCACCCCTTTTGTCCCTTTTTTCACCTCCCCCCCCCTTTTTTTTTTTTCCCGGTTAGCCTGTCCGATTTTTAGCCCATTCAATTGCGTTCGCCTCCTTTTCGACAAACTTCTCCCTTTTAAACCATTTCCAGATTATCCTGTTCCATTCAATTTCATTTTTTTTCCCGTCTACTGCTTAAAACAAGAAAGTCGCAGTTAATCTTCGGGTGCGATCATACCATCACTAATGCACCGAATCCCATCAGAACTCTGCCGTTAAGCGTGCTTGGGCGAGAGTAGTACTATGATGGGTGACCCCCTGGGAAGTCCAAGTGTTGCACCCCTTTTGACCGTTTTTCCACCCCCTTTTTTTTTTCCCCGGAAAGCCTGTCCGATTTTTAGCCCATTCAATCGCCTTCGCCTCCTTTCAACAAATTTCTCCCTTTTAAACCATTTCCAGATTATCCTGTTCCATTCAATTTCATTTTTTTTCCCGTCCCCTGCTTAAAACAATAAAGTCGCGGTTAATCTTCGGGTGCGATCATACCAGCAGTAATGCGCCGGATCCCATCAGAACTCCGCAGTTAAGCGTGCTTGGGCGAGAGTAGTACTAGGATGGGTGACCCCCTGGGAAGTCCTCGTGTTGCACCCCTTTTGTCCCTTTTTCCACCCCCCCCCTTTTTTTCCCCGGACAGCCTGTCCGATTTTTAGCCCATTCAATCGCCTTCGCCTCTTTTTCGACAATTTCTCCCTTTTAAACCATTTCCAGATTATCCTGTTCCATTCAATTTCATTTTTTTCCCCGTCTACTGCTTAAAACAATAAAGTCGCGGTTAATCTTCTGGTGCGATCATACCAGCACTAATGCACCGGATCCCATCAGAACTCCGCAGCTAAGCGTGTTTGGGCGAGAGTAGTACTAGGATGGGCGACCCCCTGGGAAGTCCTCGTGTTGCACCCCTTTTGTCCCTTTTTCCACCCCCACTTTTTTTTTCCTCGAACAGCCTGTCCAATTTTTATCCCATTCAATTGCCTTCGCCTCCTTTTCGACAAATTTCCCCGTTTTAAACCATTTCCAGATTGTGCTGTTCCATTCAATTTCATTTTTTTTCCCGTTTACTGCTTAAAACAATAAAGTCGCGGAAAATCTTCGGGTGCGGTCATACCAGCACTAATGCACCGGACCCCATCAGAACTCCGCAGTTAAGCGTGCTTGGGCGATAGTAGTACTAGGATGGGTGACCCCCTGGCAAGTCCTCGTGTTGCACCCCTTTTGTCCCTTTTTCCACCCCCCCCTTTTTTTTTCCCCGGACAGCCTGTCCGATTTTTAGCCCATTCAATCGTCTTCGCCTCCTTTTCGACAAATTTCTCCCTTTTAAACCATTTCCAGATTATCCTGTTCCATTCAATTTCATTTTTTTTCCCGTCTACTGCTTAAAATAATAAAGTCGCGGTTAATCTTCGGGTGCGATCATACCAGCACTAATGCACCGGATCCCATCAGAACTCCGCCGTTAAGCGTCCTTGGGCGAGAGTAGTACTGTGATGAGTGACCCCCTGGGAAGTCCAAGTGTTGCACCCCTTTTGACCGTTTTTCTACCCCCCTTTTTTTTTTTCCCCGGACAGCCTGTCCGATTTTTTGCCCATTCAATCGCCTTCGCCTCCTTTTCGACAAATTTCTCCCCTTTAAACCATTTCCAGATTATCCTGTTCCATTCAATTTCATTTTTTTTCCCGTCCACATCTTAAAACAGTAAAGCCGCGGTTAATCTTCGGGTGCGATCATACCAGCCCTAATGCACCGGATCCCATCAGAACTCCGCAGTTAAGCGTGCTTGGGCGAGAGTTGTACTAGGATGGGTGACCCCCTGGGAAGTCCTCGTGTTGCACCCCTTTTGTCCCTTTTTCCACCCCCTTTTTATTTTTTCACCAGGCAGCTTGTCCGATTTTTAGCCCATTCAATCGCCTTCGCCTACTTTTCGACAAATTTCTCCCTTTTAAACCATTTCTAGATTATGCTGTTCCATTCAATTTCATTTTTTTTCCCGTCTACTACTTAAAATAGTAAAGTCGCGGTGAATCTTCGGGTGCGATCATACTAGCACTAATGCACCGGATCCCATCAGAACTCCGCAATTAAGCGTGCTTGGGCGAGAGTAGTACTAGGATGGGTGACCCCCTGGGAAGCCCTCGTGTTGCACCCCTTTTGCCCCTTTTTCCCCCCCCCCCTCTTTTTTTTTTTCCCCGGACAGCCTGTCCGATTTTTAGCCCATTCAATCGCCTTCGCCTCCTTTTCGACAATTTCTCCCTTTTAAACCATTTCCAGATTATCCTGTTCCATTCAATTTCATTTTTTTCCCCGTCTACTGCTTAAAACAATAAAGTCGCGGTTAATCTTCGGGTGCGATCGTACCAGCACTAATGCACCGGATCCCATCAGAACTCCGCAGTTAAGCGTGCTTGGGCGAGAGTAGTACTAGGATGGGTGACCCCCTGGGAAGTCCTCGTGTTGCACCCCTTTTGCCCCTTTTTCCCCCCCCCCTCTTTTTTTTTTCCCCGGACAGCCTGTCCGATTTTTAGTCCATTCAATCGCCTTCGCCTCATTTTCGACAAATTTCTCCCTTTTAAACCATTTCCAGATTATCCTGTTCCATTCAATTTCATTTTTTTTTCCGTCTGTTGCTTAAAACAAAAAAGTCGCGGTTAATCTTCGGGTGCGATCATACCTGCACTAATGCACCGGATCCCATCAAAACTCCGCAGTTAAGCGTGCTTGGGCGAGAGTAGTACTAGGATGGGTGACCCCCTTGGAAGTCCTCGTGTTGCACCCCTTTTGTCCCTTTTTCCCCCCCCCTTTTTTTTTTTCCCCGGACAGCCTGTCTGTTTTTTAGCCCATTCAATTGCCTTCGCCTCCATTTCGACAAATTTCTCCCTTTTAAACCATTTCCAGATTATCCGGTTCCATTCAATTTAATTTTTTTTCCCGTCTACTGCTTAAAATAAGAAAGTCGCGGTTAATCTTCGGGTGCGATCATACCAGCACTAATGCACCGGATACCATCAGAACTCCGCCGTTAAGCGTGCTTGGGCGAGAGTAGTACTATGATGGGTGACCCCCTGGGAAGTCCTCGTGTTGCACCCCTTTTGACCCTTTTTCCACCCCTCCTTTTTTTTCCCCGGACAGCCTGTCCGATTTTTTGCCCATTCAATCGCCCTCGCCTACTTTTCGACAAATTTCTCCCTTTTAAACCATTTCCAGATTATCCTGTTCGCTTCAATTTCATTTTTTTCCCATCTACTGCTTAAAACAGTAAAGTCGCGGTGAATCTTCGGGTGCGATCATACCAGCACTAATGCACCGGATCCCATCAGAACTCCGCAGTTAAGCGTGCTTGGACGAGAGTAGTACTAGGATGGGTGACCCCTTGGGAAGTCCTCGTGTTGCACCCCTTTTGTCCCTTTTTCCACCCACCCCCCCCTTTTTTTTTTTCCCCGGACAGCCTGTCCGATTTTTAGCCCATTCAATCGCCTTCGCCTCATTTTCGACCAATTTCTCCCTTTTAAACCATTTCCTGATTATCCTATTCCATTCAATTTCATTTTTTTTTTCCTTCTACTGCTTAAAACAATAAAGTCGCGGTTAATCTTCGGGTGCGATCATACCTGCACTAATGCACCGGATCCCATCAGAACTCCGCAGTTAAGCGTGCTTGGGCGAGAGTAGTACTAGGATGGGTGACCCCCTGGGAAGCCCTCGTGTTGCCCCCCTTTTGCCTTTCAAACCATTTCCAGATTATCCTGTTCCATTCAAAGAACTCCGCAGTTAAGCGTGCTTGAATTTCTCCCTTTTAAACCATTTCCAAATATTGCACTTCTAAGCCTTTTATTATCATCCAAGATGACATCAGTCATTTGTTGTTTGTTGGAGGTCCTTTTAATGCCACTACTTATCATACCCATTCTTTCATGAACTAATCTTCGTGGGGTGGCAAATGTAAACTTTTCATTTGGTGCTTCTAGTCGCTCGAACACTTATGTTTGTTGCATTGTCGTATCATCCAAATAATAAAAAATAGAGGGTTTGGTTGAGGTTGATGAGTTATTTTTACCAATTGTGATATAATGTTGTGTTCATAATTGATCGAACATTGATGCTCACTGCATTATTATATCACCCAAACGATAAAAAATTGAGGGCTTGGCTTTTTTTTTTCCCCGGACAGCCTGTCCGATTTTTAGCCCATTCAATCGCCTTCGCCTCCTTTTCGACAAATTTCTCCCTTTTAAACCATTTCCAGATTATCCTGTTCCATTCAATTTCATTTTATTTCCCGTCTACTGCATAAAATAATAAAGTCGCGGTTAATCTTCGGGTGCGATCATACCAGCACTAATGCACCGGATGCCTTCAGAACTCCATAGTTAAGCGTGCTTGACCGAGAGTAGTACTAGGATGGGCGACCCCCTGGGAAGTCCTCGTGTTGCACCCCTTTTGTCCCTTTTTCCACCCCCCCTTTTTTTTTTCCCCGGACAGCCTGTCCGATTTTTGGCCCATTCAATCGCCTTCGCCTCCTTTTCGACAAATTTCTCCCTTTTAAACCATTTCCAGATTATCCGGTTCCATTCAATTTCATTTTTTTTCCGTCTACTGCTTAAAACAATAAAGTCGCGGTTAATCTTCGGGTGCGATCATGCCAGCACTAATGCACCGGATGTAACAACCCTCACCTTACTCTTGTCACACTTGCCTACATTCATGCATGATCTTGCCCTGTTATGTTGATTGGGAGGTTTTGCCTTGCCTTGTTTTGTTTAAGTATTACTTACGTGATTTTGTTCCTCGTTTGGTGTGTGTGTGGCCGAGGTCACCTTGAGCTTAGTTCGCCTTTGAACCTTTGTACTTAGAACTGTTTTGAGCCCTTGGTCGACCCCCGTCTTCACCTCGGGCTTATTGCCGAAGATGTCTTGCACTTAGTAAACCTTGTCCGCAAGCAGGTATGGCCTAGGCCGAGATGTGGCACACCCCGGCCAAGGTGTGGCATAGCTTAGTCAAGTGTCGTCCTCCCTAGCCGATGTCCTTGTTATCCTGTTGCCGGATCCTTGATTTGAGCCGATGTCATTTCTTGCCGATGTGTCTTACCCAGCTTGCTGCATACGCTTTGTCAGAGGCTTGTCTTATCTATCAATCACCTTTTTGAGTTGAGCCAACCCGATAGCACCACGTGTCCGAGCTGATTGTTAAGACAGCCGTCAGACCTAGAAACAAATCATTTTTGTCTCAAATCTTTGCCTTTAGAGAGAGAAGCTCTAGAGAAAAGGAAGAGAAGTTCTTGAGTGAGAATAGTCTTCCAAGCTTGATCTTCGTGGTTGGATCCGTTGGATTCGAATTTTGAGGTTAGAATCTTGATCTACTTTGGTTGTTGTTGCTGATCATCTAGCTGCATTACATGATCGAATCTATTTTGCATATCATGCATCGATTTGAAGTTGGTTTCGAAAGAGAAATATAGTATTCATGTGTTCTTGAAGGAAAGTCTCGTTTTGATCCGAAAGTTTGGAACAAGAATCATGTTTTTGTGTTTGTCCTTGCATGACCTTCTTGTATGGGTACCCAGGTCCATGTTTTGAACTCTTGGCATGAAACCTCAGATCTTTGTAACGAGTTTTGATCTTGCATTCATCTTCCTCATGATCATGTTCATCATATTCTTCATGTGCTTCAAAGGGGAACCCAGGTTTCCCCGACTTTGCTTTTTGGTTAAGGCCAGCGGGACCACACCTCGGCAAGGATGTGTGGGACCTCGGCAAGGACCTGGTTGGTACCCAGTGTGTTTCCATGAGACGGGAGCAGTGTTTAGACTCCCAGCTTGTTTTGCTTTGTTATCGACTTGGATCCGGCAAGAATGCCGAGATCATTTGCTCGCATTTGAAGCTTGTTTTGAGAATGTGGTTGCCGTGTGATTTGTAGGACCTTGATCCTTGCTTTGAGTCTACACCTGAAGAACTAGGTGAGTGGTATTTCTAATAAAGCTATGTTACACTTGTTTTGATAAATCTTGCTTGCTTGTTTTGACAAAAGTATTTGATAGCATGAATAAATAGCTCTTGTTTGATGAGTCAAGTATACTCCTTGTTTTGATGCCATCTTTGGAAAGGATACCTGGTCTTAATTGGCCGGGTCGTGCCTCCGACGGATCCCTGCCTGTGCAGCGAACTCCAAAAGTCCCTTGTACTGGAGGACTCTAAACTTTCGCAGTACCAAGTGCGAAAGTCCCTCGTGCTGGAGGACTCTAAACTTTCGCAGCACTAAGTATAAAAGGATACGGTCCTTTCTTGGAAAGACTGTAATGTTAAGTCGGGCTACGGGCCTAAGTAGCACAAGTTCCATAATGTTAAATCGGGCTACGGGCTTAAGTAACACAAGTTCCATAATGTTAAATCGGGCTACGGGCCTAAGTAACACAAGTCCCTTGTGCTGGAGGACTTTAAACTTTCGCAGTACCTTTGACTAAACGATTACGGATTGTACAGTCCCTTGTTCTGATAAGCTTGATGTGTTTTGCCGATGTCAGTAAGCCTCCCTTGATACTTGTAATATTCGATTGATGAATACGGTTCATCCCTTATTTGATAAAGTTTGATGTGTTTTGTTTTGAAAGACTTCGGCTACATTCATGCAAACCTTTATTATTAGTACCATTCACTGAGTATCGAAGCTCACCCTCTCTATATATATGTAGGTGTTGAGCAGGACGTCGGTGATGCCTAGACTGTTTTGAAAGCTTGTTTGGATTCTTGATTATGTCGGCTTTGTTTTTGTATTCACGTCGGCAATGCCATTAATTCATGTCAGCGAATCTTGAAAATCATGCTTCTTGACTTGTATTTTCTGTATTTTGTATATGTCGGCTCGAGAAGCCTTTTGATCAAGATGTAACACATATTTTGCTTGTTGTATTCAGTTGTAAAGATGAATGACATTACATTTGATCTATGCACAGCTCTTATGGAACCTTTATTATTAGTACCATTCACTGAGTATCGAAGCTCACCCTCTCTATATATATGTAGGTGTTGAGCAGGACGTCGGCGATGCTTAGACTGTTTTGAAAGCTTGTTTGGATTCTTGATTATGTCGGCTTTGTTTTTGTATTCACGTCGGCAATGCCATTAATTCATGTCGGCGAATCTTCAAAATCATGCTTCTTGACTTGTATTTTCTGTATTTTGTATATGTCGGCTCGAGAAGCCTTTTGATCAAGATGTAACACATATTTTGCTTGTTGTATTCAGTTGTAAAGATGAATGACATTACATTTGATCTATGCACAGCTCTTATGGACCACTTGTATCTTAGATTATTGCTTCCATGTTTGTGAGCCCCGTTTATTATACTCTGATTGTGTTAAGTTTTTTTGAAAGTTGGCCTTCGGTAATTACGGATTACTGGCCATCACGGCACCAAACTACTAGGGGCGGTTTGGGGTCGTGACAGAGTGGTATCAGAGCACAAGTTCCTCGGTATACGTTAATCACACACTTGAGTCCTAAAGAGCATAGGATTTCCCTTAGAAGGATGCTAGGGTTGCATCATGGTATTTGTTATTTGAATGAGGTGTGCATTGTCTTGATATACTTATTGTTGCTTGCCTACGGGGTTATTTGCTTACTTGTTTAAAAGTCATACTTTGCACGCTCATAGCATCATGAGGAGAGGTAGACCTCCGATTGGCCAGGATCAGCCCGAAGATAGAATGGATAGATTGGAAAGATTGGTTGAGGGTTTGGCCCGCGAGTTGAGGCAGACAAGACAGCAGTTCGCCAGTGCCGCGTCGACTCAGGCCGAGCAGACCAACGGCCGGAATGTAATTCCGCCTCCACCTCCTCCAGTGCCGCAAGTTCCCCTGTAGCCAGCCTTATATGGGGATGGCACAATAGCTTTGATCCGGGAATTCAAGAAAATGAAACCACCAAGATTCTCTGGGGGTATAGAGCCGATGAAGGCTGAGGCATGGGTTTTGGAAATGGAAAAGTTGTTCGAGATCTTCCCTAGCACCGACGCTCAGAAAGTGACGTTGGCAGCATTCACATTAGACGATGACGCTCGCAGGTGGTGGATGATGGTTAGAGAGAGCAATCCAAATCTGACCTGGACTCGATTCTTAGAGCTGTTCTACAAGAAACATTTTCCCGTAAGTGTCCGAAACCGCAAGGCTACCGAATTTCACACCTTGACCCAAGGCAACAGAACAGTGGCGGAATACGACCGCGCTTTTACTGAATTGGCGAGGTTTGTGCCTCACATGGCCAACGATGAATACATGAAGGCCAGGAAGTTTGAGAGTGGGCTTCGCGGACCAATTCAAGACCGGGTTAATTTGCTCGATATGCCGACTTATGTCGAAGTATTGGACAAAGCCATTCAGGCCGAAGCTAACCTGAATCGATACCAGAGCTCGGGAGAGAACCAGCGAAAAAGGCATAACTATGACAACCGCCGAGGACAGTTGGGCACCAAGAAAAAGACGAGCATGGGCAGTACTAGTAATCTAAGGCAGGAAGGTAATGCTAAACTGACGTGTCCGGACTGTGGGAGGCAACATTTCGGGATCTGTCGCCGGACATCCAGTGCTTGTTATGAATGTGGTGAGATGGGCCATTATGTGAGAGATTGCCCCAAGGCAAAGGCTGACAACAATAAGAAAGGTGAGAATACCTCGGGTTCCGTTCAGAAGGGTAACGCTGGAAAAGGGCAGATGAGGCAGGGCAGAGTATTTGCGCTAGTACCAGGAGACACTCAGAATGCTGAAGCAGTGGTGTCAGGTATACTTCTAATTTGCTCCCAAGATGCCTATGTGTTGGTTGATTCGGGTTCTACTCATTCGTTTATATCTACTAAGTTTGCCGAGAAAATTAATAGAGAACTAGAGCCCCTTGATTTCGTATTATCTGTGTCTACTCCATCTGGAAGACCTATGATTGTTGCATCCATTTATAGAGCATGTGTGGTTATGATTGAGAATATTGAATTGTTAGTAGATTTAATGCCTCTAGACATAGCCCATTTTGATGTTATACTGGGAATGGATTGGTTGGTCACAAATCATGCATCTATTAATTGTGTTTCGAAAAGTGTCACATTGAGACCCCCAAACCTAGCCGAGGTTATTTTCCAGGGGAAAGGAATAGTGCCCCCACCTTACTTGATTTTGTCCATTAAGGCCTACAAGTTAATTCAGAAAGGGTGTCGAGGCTACTTGTGTAGTATACTGAATGATCAGAATGGAAATATTAATTTAGCCGACATTCCAGTTGTTAGTGAATTCCCCGACGTCTTTCCGAACGAATTGCCTGGCCACCTAACCGATAGAGAAATAGAGTTTACTGTTGACATCATGTCGGGAACACAGCCGATCTCCAAAACACCTTATAGGATGGCCCCAGCTGAACTTAGAGAATTGAAACTGCAATTACAAGAATTGTTAGATAAGGGATTTATTAGGCCGAGCACTTCACCATGGGGAGCACCTGTTTTATTTGTTAAGAAAAAGGATGGCACACTCCGTCTTTGCATCGATTATAGAGAACTTAATAAAGTCACTATCAAGAACAAGTACCCATTACCTAGAATTGATGATCTGCTTGACCAATTACAAGGAGCACGAGTCTTTTCTAAGATCGACCTTAGGTCTGGTTACCATCAGCTTAAAGTTAAAGCCGAAGATGTTGAGAAGACTGCTTTTCGGACAAGATATGGCCACTACGAGTTTTTAGTAATGCCTTTTGGAGTGACCAATGCCCCTGCTGCATTTATGGATTTAATAAACAGAGTCTTCAAGCCATATTTAGATGAATTCGTAGTTGTCTTCATCGACGATATATTGATCTATTCCAAGAGCGAAGTTGAACATGAAAATCATTTGAGACTTGCCTTACAGATTTTGAGAAAACGGAAATTGTACGCTAAGTTTAGCAAGTGTGAGTTTTGGCTTTCTACTATCTCATTCTTGGGTCATGTGATTAACGAAGAGGGTATTTCGGTGGATCCTAGCAAAATTGAAGCCGTAGTTAATTGGCCGAGGCCGACTAATGTATCCAAGATCCGTAGTTTTCTGGGTTTGGCAGGTTATTACAGGAAGTTTGTGAAAGATTTCTCAAGGATTGCAATTCCATTGACGCAACTGACTAAGAAGGGAACACTGTATGAATGGACTAAAGATCGGGAGTCAGCCTTCCAGGAACTGAAGACGAGGTTAGTTACAGCACCAGTACTTGTACTTCCATCAGGTAACGAAGAGTTTCATATCTATAGCGATGCTTCGCATAAGGGCTTGGGTTGTGTGTTAATGCAAAGGGGTAAAGTTATAGCTTATGCATCTCGCCAGCTGAAACCCCACGAGAAGAACTATCCTACCCATGATTTAGAATTAGCGGCCGTGGTATTTGCTTTGAAGATTTGGCGTCACTATTTGTATGGAGCTTCTTGTCAGATTTTTACAGATCATAAGAGTTTAAAGTACCTATTCACACAGAAAGAATTGAATTTGAGACAGAGAAGATGGCTTGAGTTGTTGAAGGATTATGATATGCAAATTCAATATCACCCGGGTAAAGCTAACAGTGTGGCCGACGCTTTGAGCAGAATGTCAGATGGAAATTTGGCGTGTTTGACCATGATGACAGTGGAGCCGACTATTGTTGATGAGGTAAAGACAAGACAGATGGAGGATAACTTCTTCAAGAGAATAGCCGAGGAAATTGACACAAAGCCGAGATCAGGGTATACTATCGAAAAGCAAGTACTCAAATTTGAGGGGAGGTTATGTGTAGCCGACATCCCAGAGTTGAAAAGGAAAATTTTGCAGGAAGCTCACGGTTCTAAGTTTGCTGTTCATCCAGGGAACACCAAAATGTATCAAGATGTGAAGCAGACCTTCTGGTGGCCAAATATGAAAAAAGAGATAGCCGAATTCGTGTCCCAGTGTTTACATTGTCAACAAGTGAAAGCAGAACATCAAGACCGGCAGGACTTCTTCAACCTTTGCCGATCCCCGAGTCGAAATGGGAACATATCTCCATGGATTTCGTGATTGGTTTGCCAAAGACACCGAAAGGTATGGATTCGATTTGGGTTGTTGTTGATAGATTAACTAAGTCAGCACACTTCTTACCTGCCAAGACTACCTTCAACGCCGACCAACTTGCTTTGTTATATGTGAACAAGATTGTTAGACTTCATGGAGTGCCGATGTCGATTGTGTTAGACCGAGATCCCAAGTTTGTTTCTAGATTTTGGCAGAGTCTTCAGAGAGCTTTCGGAGCCGAGCTGAGATTTAGTACAGCTTTTCATCCCCCGACGGATGGGCAGACAGAGAGGACAATCCAGACACTTGAAGATATGCTTAGACTTTGTGTATTGGACTTCCTAGGAAGTTGGGGAACACATTTGCCCTTAGTGGAATTCGCTTACAACAACAGTTATCAAGCTAGCATTGGCATGGCGCCATACGAAGCCTTGTACGGAAGAAAATGTAGGTCGCCGATATGTTGGACCGAAGTCGGAGACAGAGCTCTGCTTGGTCCCGAATTGATTCAAGTGACAACAGAGAAGATTAAACTTATCCAACAAAGGATTAGGACTGCCCAGAGCCGACAAAAGAGCTACGCCGACCAGAGAAGGAATGAGTTAGAGTTCGAAGTTGGGAATCACGTATTCCTGAAAATCTCACCGACGAAAGGAGTTTCCAGATTTGGAAGGAAAGGTAAGTTAGCACCTCGCTATATTGGGCCATTTGAAATTCTTGAGAGCACAATGTGTTTCATGTTTCGATGTTGAGGAAGTACATCCGAGATCCGCTGCATGTAATTGATCATTCCGAGATTACGGTTAATGAGGATTTGGGCTACGAGGAGAAACCAAGGAGGATTATTGACAGACAAGTTAGGCAGTTGAGAAACAAGTCGATGCCAATGGTAAAAGTGGAATGGAAAGAACATTACGGCAAGGATGCCACATGGGAAATGGAAGAGGAGATGAGAATTCGACATCCAGAATTGTTCCTGGAGCAAGGTAATTTAAGTTTGGGGACCAAACTTCTTTAAGGGGGGTAGGATGTAACAACCCTCACCTTACTCTTGTCACACTTGCATACATTCATGCATGATCTTGCCCTGTTATGTTGATTTGGAGGTTTTGCCTTGCCTTGTTTTGTTTAAGTATTACTTACGTGATTTTGTTCCTCGTTCGGTGTGTGTGTGGCCGAGGTCACCTTGAGCTTAGTTCGCCTTTGAACCTTTGTACTTAGAACTGTTTTGAGACCTTGGTCAACCCCCATCTTCACCTCGGGCTTATTGCCGAAGATGTCTTGCACTTAGTAAACCTTGTCCTTAGGTAGGTATGGCCTAGGCCGAGATGTGGCACACCCCGGCCAAGGTGTGGCACAGCTTAGTCAAGTATCGTCCTCCCTAGCCGATGTCCTTGTTATCCTGTTGCCGGATCCTTGATTTGAGCCGATGTCATTTCTTGCCGATGTGTCTTACCCAGCTTGCTGCATACGCTTTGTCAGAGGCTTGTCTTATCTATCAATCACCTTTTTGAGTTGAGCCAACCCGATAGCACCACGTGTCCGAGCTGATTGTTAAGACAGCCGTCAGACCTAGAAACAAATCATTTTTGTCTCAAATCTTTGCCTTTAGAGAGAGAAGCTCTAGAGAAAAGGAAGAGAAGTTCTTGAGTGAGAATAGTCTTCCAAGCTTGATCTTCGTGGTTGGATCCGTTGGATTCGGGTTTTGAGGTTAGAATCTTGATCTACTTTGGTTATTGTTATTGATCATCTAGCTGCATTGCATGATCGAATCTGTTTTGCATATCATGCATCGATTTGAAGTTGGTTTCGAAAGAGAAATATAGTATTCATGTGTTCTTGAAGGAAAGTCTCGTTTTGATCCGAAAGTTTGGAACAAGAATCATGTTTTTGTGTTTGTCCTTGCATGACCTTCTTGTATGGGTACCCAGGTCCATGTTTTGAACTCTTGGCATGAAACCTCAGATCTTTGTAACGAGTTTTGAACTTGCATTCATATTCCTCATGATCGTGTTCATCATGTTCGTCATGTTCTTCAAAGGGAAACCCAGGTTTTCCCGACTTTGCTTTTGTATAAGGCCAGCGGGACCACACCTTGGCAAGGATGTGTAGGACCTCGGCAAAGACCTGGTTGGTACCCAGTGTGTTTTCATGAAACGGGAGCAATGTTTAAACTCCCAACACGTTTTGCTTTGCTATTGACTTGGATCTGGTGAGAATGCCGAGCTTTGATTGTTTTGATGAAAGTAATTGCTAAGCATGGATGAATAGCCCTGTTTTGATGTATCAGTATAAGCTTTGTTTTGATGTCATCCTTGAAAAGTCCCTTGTACTGGAGGACTCTAAACTTTCGCAGTACCAAGTGCAAAAGTCCCTTGTACTGGAGGACTCTAAACTTTCGCAGTACCAAGTGCAAAAGTCCCTTGTACTGGAGGACTCTAAACTTTCGCAGTACCAAGTGCAAAAGTCCCTTGTACTGGAGGACTCTAAACTTTCGCAGTACCAAGTGCAAAAGTCCCTTGTACTGGAGGACTCTAAACTTTCGCAGTACCAAGTGCAAAAGTCCCTCGTGTTGGAGGACTCTAAACTTTCCCAGCACTAAGTATAAAAGGATACGGTCCT